TATCTATCAATTTCAATCTTTTCTTTATCTATCTATCTATCTGTCTGTCTGTCTCAAGCTGTTCATTATCTACAGCTTGCGATGGATAAATTGTCGTCTAAATTACGCAAAAACGAAAATAACACTGATATCTCATTTTAAAAGATATATTCACCGAAATTACTCAAAAATAAAATCTCCATTGTCTTCAACGACGGCCTCCAGATAACTTCGAAATCTCCTGCAACTCTTCTGGACGGTCTCCTTGTTTAAGTTGGGGAATGCTGCCATAATCATTGTCTTCAGTCCATATTTGGTATTACAAGGAGTTTTTGTTTTTGTCTTTCGCTCAACTGCACCCCACACATAATAATCAAGGGGGGTTGCAGTTTTAGGTGTCTGACTGTCATGACTGGGTTTTCCTGCTTGTGTGACATGGTGCAGAGACTTAGTGTCTGCCAACAGCCATCCTCTTGATCCAGGGTATCACTACCTCTTCAAGGCACTTGATGTAGGCCTCCGAGTCTGAGACCCTTACCAACAAATTCGGGAGTTCTTTTCTTATCAGAACAATCAGTAATCACCATTAGACTCAACCAACTCTTTCCGAGTCCTCTGCATTTGACCCCCAAACACTCTGAAATGTATTAGAGCTTCTGGCGCGAATGCCAAACAGTATAGCATTCTAAATTTCTAGCGAAGTGAATTGCGTCATCGTGTTCTTTTTTTCACAGACGGCGCCCAACAGACCCTATTATACTGTGCAGTGGACATGTACGTGACAGTACTTGACGTAATTTTCAGTTAACAGTATGAAAATAGCGTTCTCTAAATTCTTCCACCTGTTAAGGACATTTTGTTTTGTTATTATTACTTACTTTGTTTAAATAAATTCATTTCGTTTTGTCTTGAAAAAGTCCGGACGAAACTCGTCGGCTACTATTACAGTTTTCCTGTTGTCTTTTACATTTATAAATATTGTCTTTTTCTACAGGTTAACTCTGAGAAATTTTTCATATATATATATATCTACTAGCAGTAGAGCCCGGCGTTGCCCGGTGATGTAACAGTAAGAGATAGATCAAGTATCGACCATTATAAAGACTGAAAAATAAAATTGACAAAGATTATTGTTTAAGGTTGACGGACACGTATGTCTTAATTATTTTTTTTTATGAATTGGTCACACCCAAACTCAAACAAAAAACATTGTTTTCAATCGTTATGAGACTACCGATTGAATAGAATTTTATTATAAACAATTGTCTTGTAAATGGAATTTTTTAAAGCATTCTGAATGTAAAAAAAATAAAGAAAAAGTATGCAAGACAATAAGAAACACTACCTGCCAAAAAAAGTGAGTTTTTTGTTGAAATCGGTTGAAAAATGTAAGAAATCCGATCCCATATATAAACGAACACACACACACACACACACACACACACACACACACACACACACACACACACACACACACACACACACACACACACAACCTGGGTTTTATAATAAGTATAACTCGATATTACCACGCACACATACTGAAAAATCTGGTTAACTTAATATCAAGAAACATTTGACCATATTGTATCAGGCAGCATAATGTTAGCACCTGCTTAACCATTTCTTAGAGTCCTTTACTCTAATTCTTATCTCATGAACACATCTAAAAACTACGAGGGTCGGCTGAAAAGTTTTTCGACTGACCAAGATACTCTCATGGTTTATTTCTCAACAGAGTCTCTCTTGCAGTCTTCATACTTTTTCTATCAGTGTTGTAGCGTTTGGATCCCATTGCTGAAGGAGCTTTCATCCTGTTGGTCAAAAAACTCATCAACAGAACGTATGACATCATCATCACTACGATACTGGTTCCCGGCCAAGTGTTTTTTTCATGTTGGGGAACAGATGATAGTCAGATGAGACCAAATTAGGAGAATAGGGTGAATGATCAACCAGTTCAAACTCACAGTCACTCCCATTGAAACCAAAGACATATTTACCGGATCATTGCCCTTATGAAACAAGATCCTTCTCGTTAGATTTCATTGGCCTTTGATCTTGATAGCCTTTTGTAAAAGTCTCGGCAATTTGGCATAGCACTCTCCATTGATGGTATGGCCCTACTGAAGATATTCAATAAACAAAATACCATCACTTTCCCTGAAGATGAAATGAAGTTCTTTGGAGCATGTGAAGAAAGGTATTTCTACTGCATGGATTGTCTCTTTCTCTCTAGGTCAAAGTGATGAACCTAAAACTCACCTTGGGTTAAGAAACGTTAAAAGAAATCAGCTGGATCTGCCTCAAATGTCATATTTTTCTGTGATGTACAGTCTTCTGGGCTTTTGATCAGGGGTCAGAAGATGTAGCACCCAGCGAGTAGAAACTTTCGTCATGCCAAGTTCATTGGGCAGAATATTCTCATCTCTTTCACGGTATATGTCAATAGCATTGGTTATTTGATTTATAGCTAATCGCCCGTCATCCATCATCATGTTGTGAACATGATCAATATTTTCCTCGGTGGTGGCAGTTGTAGGATGTCCAGATCTTGGGTCATCTTCAAAGCTCACTCTGCTAAATTCAGCTACCCACTTTTGTATTGTTGATAAAGCTGGAGCTTCATACCCTAAAGTTTCTAATCCCCTTTTCTGCAGGTACTTGATAACACCACGATATCAAATTTAGTCTGTTTTCAAGAGTGGTCGCTACTTGTTAGAATAGAAATATTCTTTGAACAGTTAGGTGGTCAGTTTACCCGGAACCCGGACGAGGTTATGCCGAAGGGCAGAGTCTCGTCCGGGAAGGTATACAAATCCGATCCCGTTTATACAGGGTCTACGGGGATTTTTTTCGCCGAGCCTACGGGCTCAGAAACCCCACATTAAATTCGGCCTGTGCCACATGTGATTGCATGGGGCGGTTGCTAGATACCGTCTAGCCGGACAGAGAGGATCCCCAGACGAGTCTATGTCGAAGGGCAGACTCTCGTCTCGGGAAACAGCTACCCGACCCTGTTTTATACGGGAGTCTACGGGGAATTTTTTGGTCGAGCCTACGGGCTCTGATCGCTTCATATTAAATTCTGCCTTGTGACACATCCGACATCGTGGGGAGTTTAGTAAATATTACTAGCTAGATTCTATTCCAGCTGTCCTGTCGAACGCTCTGTCTCCGGGCATAGAGAATCCCCGGACAAGGCTATGTTGAAACCCGGCCCCGTTTTTTATAGAGTCTACGGGGAATTTTTGGCTGAGCCTACGGGGTTGGATGTCCCACATCTAATTCGGCCTTGTGCCACATCTGGTCACGTGGGGAGGTTAGTAAATACACAAGCTGTAATCTTTTCCAGCTGTGAAAACTCTCTGTCTCAGGGAAGAGAGGATCTCGAGACGAGGCTATGTCGAAGGGCAGAGTATCGTCTTGGAAAACAGCTACCCGTGTTATACGGGATCTACGGGGAATTTTTGGCAGAGCCTAGGGCTCGGATTGCCCCACATTAAAGTCCCTTGTTACCTCGTGGGGAGGCTGGTAAACATCGACTAGCTGGAATCTGTTACTCAGCACTGAGCTGGAACTCACCTTCGGCCAGAGAGGAACCTGGACGAGTCTATGCCGAGGCAGAGTCTCGTCCGGGGAGGTGAACAGACCCGAACCCGTTTATTCTGGGTCTACAGGAAATTTTTAGCCGAGCCTAAGATTACCCCATTAAACTCGGCCTTGTGCCACATCCTACCTCCTGAGGAGACTGGAAAATATCGACCAGTTGGGATATGTTACTCAGCTCTTAGCTGTTATCGAACTGTGTTCCCTCGGACAGAGAGGAACCCGGACGAGGCTATGCCGAAGGGCAGAGTCTCGTCCTGGGGGGTAGAAAGACCCGAGCCCGTTTATTTGTGGTCTACAGGGAATTTTTGGCCGAGCCTACGGGATCGGATTGCCCCACATGAAATTGGGCCTTTTGCCACATCCTACCTCGTAAATATTGTCTAGCTGGGATCTGTTGGTACGACACGAGAACTACCGGCCTTCCAATAGTAGCATTCACTACAGGATTGACTTGCGACGACCTTGTGCATAACTGTTATCATTATTCTTATTGTATTGGTTGGGCACCTCGGCGTGGTGCAGTGGTTAGAAAGCTTGTCTTGCTAGATCAATTACGACTGATTAGTGAGTTCGATCCTCACTGGGTGCCCCATACTTTCGGCCTTGTGCCGCAGTTAAGCCGGGCTTAGAAAATCACTTATTGTATTGGTTTTTATAATAACCCTTTACTTATTTATCCATCTTCTTTTTCAAGTATATATTCCTTTTAGCACGGAATATAACAAAGACTTTTACTACAAAGTTTATTTCATATATATATATATATAAAGACTACCTATGGCGCCATCATATTACTATTATTGTGTGTGGCATCATCTTGCCGGAGAATAATTTCAAGTGTGTATATACAAAGTCTTCTCAGTAAAAATGGTGCCTTAGGAGAGATATCTATGTACATTTGGGACGTTTCGTTTAGATAGACAGGATTTTGTGGATGATATGTACAGATCCGGATAAATTAATCATTGCAGCTGTCCAGGAATTTTTATTCATATGATTTTCAGTACCCTTCTTTATCATGTCCAATGCCCCTATAAACACAGCGATAATCGTGGTTTTAAGCTTCCAGGGATAATCGTGGTTTTGAGCTTCCAGGGATAATCGTGGTTTTAAGCTTCCAGGGATAATCGTGGTTTTGAGCTACCAGGGATAATCGTGGTTTTGAGCTTCCAGGGATAATCGTGGTTTTAAGCTTCCAGGGATAATCGTGGTTTTGAGCTTCCAGGGATAATCGTGGTTTTGAGTTTCGGGATAATCGTTTTTAAGCTTCCAGGGATAATCGTGGTTTTAAGCTTCCAGGGATAAAAGGGATAATCGTGGTTTTGAGCTACCAGGGATAATCGTGGTTTTGAGCTTCCAGGGATAATCGTGGTTTTAAGCTTCCAGGGATAATCGTGGTTTTAAAGGGATAATCGTGGTTTTAAGCTTCCAGGGATAATCGTGGTTTTGAGCTTCCAGGGATAATCGTG